AAACATTTTTTTCTGTTTCTTTCTCGTGATATAACACATTCCACTTCGGTGCGGTCTGTAGTTAAAACATTGTTTTTCTGTTTCTTTCTCGTGATATAACACATTCCACTTCGGTGCGGTCTGTAGTTAAAATATTGTTTTTCTGTTTCTCGTGATATAACACATTCCACTTAGATGCGGTCTGTATTTAAAACATTGTTTTTCTGTTTCTTTCTCGTGATATAACACATTCCACTTCGGTGCGGTCTGTAGTTAAAACATTTTTTTCTGTTTCTTTCTCGTTATATAACACATTCCACTTCGGTGCGGTCTGTAGTTAAAATATTGTTTTTCTGTTTCTCGTGATACAACACATTCCACTTCGGTGCGTTCTGTAGTTAAAACATTTTTTTTTTTTTTTTTTTTTTTTTTTTTTTTTTTTTTTTTTTTTTTTTTTTTTTTTTTTTTTTCTGTTTCTCGTGATATAACACATTCCACTTGGATGTGGTCTGTAGTTAAAACATTGTTTTTCTGTTTCTCGTGATATAACACATTCCACTTGGATGTGGTCTGTAGTTAAAACATTTTTTTCAGCTGAAAACACACTATACCAGTTAAACGATCTAGGAACATGCCAACTCAAAACACACTATACCAGTTAAACGATCTAGGAACATGCCAGCTGCTAAAACCACTTCTGAAATCATTTGAATTTACGTTAGCTTAGTACATTGTTCTCCTTCTTGAGTTGTTTGTTTTACTGCACTACACATTATTGACGTACATTGATTGTTTATAATAGCAGGCTGTTTAAGACCAATAACAAATGATACTTTTGGTATAATAGTAACGATCAAGAAATATATCGTGATAGGAATTCACTACAACTGCTTAATATCGGTTATTAACCGAAATTTCACTTTCCAATTTATCAATTCAAGAATCAAAATACTCACCAGGTGACTTCTCTCCAACACACCATGGAACCACCGATTCGACACGCGTGTCTAATAATGGCACATCCAGAAGCTATAATTAGGCCTAAACAGTTTTCGACTAACAAAAAACTTGTTCCAAGAATGTCAGATGAATACAGTAAGAAGACAAAATATTCAAACAACCGAGATGACGATTAACAATCGCTACTGAAAACTGGAGTGTGTTATATCACGAGAAACAGAAAAACAATGTTTTAACTACAGACCGCACCGAAGTGGAATGTGTTATATCACGAGAAACATAAAAACAATGTTTTAACTACAGACCGCACCGAAGTGGAATGTGTTATATCACGAGAAAGAAACAGGTATGTTCCTAGACCGTTTAACTGGTATAGTGTGTTTTGAGTTGGCATGTTCCTAGACCGTTTAACTGGTATAGTGTGTTTTGAGTTGGTATGTTCCTAGACCGTTTAACTGGTATAGTGTGTTTTGAGTTGGTATGTTCCTAGAC